GTATGATGGGGGAACTCACTAAGCTTCGTGCTTACAATTTTCAGTTTTGGTTTCAGGTACCTCTTCTTCGAAGGGGAAGGAGCTCGCGCGGTAGCAGTACATCACACACACGCTCTGTATTCCGCACTATGAGATCTTCCTGGGGAATTGTACTGTGTTTTTATTATGATTTTATAAACTGGTTTCCAGACACGAACATCCTTTATGAAATGATATGATCAATGAATGTTTTATTCTAATGTTTTGCTAAGTATGTGTATTTAAAAATGAAATTTTTGGCTCGTATTTTTGGGATGTTACACGTTGACGCGGATCAGGATGATTCCGAAGAAAATCCAACCAGATCTAGATCTGATCTAAATAACTCAAACGATCTAGTAGTTCACGACATATCAGAGGTTCAGATACATCTGGAGGCTTCAAATCCGGTGACCTGGTAGCAGCGGTGGTAGCAGTGATGATAACATGATGTGGCGGTAGCATGTCATACGATAGTGCTAGTTGGCGTTGGTTTTCTCCGGAGAAAGGTCCGTCGCCGACGGTGGTGAAAATTGTGGATATCACCAGAAAAAAGAGATAATCTGGTTCTTAAAATTCTGATGAATATTTGTTAATGTTGTGCATTTTTTTTTTGGAATTATAACTAATAATTTTTGAAATAAGTTGTAGAAGAAATCATAAAGAAATAACAAAGAAATAATCTCAGGAAATTAATTTAGTATGTTATGGAAGAATATGAACAACGGGTAAGTATTTACATTAATGGTCCCTATATTATAGCCATATTGACATAGTATAACTCAGACTTGATTTTTGTTATTTTTGAATTTCAATAACATATTTGGTTAAAATAATAAAATTTTTAATAATAACTTATAAATAAAAGGCTTTTACGTTTTAAATCTTTTTTTGTTTTCATTTGAACATATTTTATATATATATATATATATATATATATATATATATATATATATATATATATATATATATATATATATATATATATATAATAGAAGCAAATAAAGGCCGGATCTAAAGTGGGCGAAGTGAGACAGGGCCCAATTCTTTTAAAACAAGTTTTTTAATTTTTGTAACATATATACATGTATATCAGTATATAGGACAAGTATATAGGACAGAAGCAAAAAGGTTAATTGTCTTAAATTGTTAAAGGGATAATGTCATAAAAAACCTTAAGTTTGGCAGAAAATGTCGATTTTACCCTTCGGTAGATTTTTGGTTCATTTATACCGCAAACTTGTCATTTTTTTGTCGGTTTCGCCTTTGTTACCTGCAATAGCAGGTTTCCAGGTTATTATGAATTATTTTTTGCGAAAAAACCCTTAAGTTTACAAATATTTTGCAAAAAAAACCCCTTAAGATTATAAGATATAAAATATAAATATATATTCAAAATTTTATAAAACTAAATAGTTTTCTACTAAAACATATTTTTAGCTTTATGTACGGTAAATTTTATATTTGTTTGATATAAAGTTTTTATATTTAAATTTTAAAAAACTTACCTAGTTTTATCAAAATTTAAATATTTATTAATTAATACTTAAACTTTTCAAAGTAACATTAAAAAACTTCTGTTAGCTAATAATAATATAACATTAGTGACATTCAATTAATTTTTTTTAAATAAAAATAAAAATATTTTATATGTTTAAAAGGTTTGAATTTCATAAATAATAAACTATCATATTTTATATAAAAATAAATATATTTATATAATAAATTAGACAAATATATTTATATTTTATATGTTTAAAATGTTTATATTTATTTTTGATGTTTAACATGTTTATGATATTTTTATAAAAAAATATGATAATATTATTATGTATTTAAACATATAAAAAATACGATATGTTAGTATTTCTGAAATACAAACCTTTTAAACATATAAAATATTTTTATTTACCTTTTAAAAAAATTAATTGAATGTACATGATACCATATTATTCATAACAACTATTTTAGCATAATTACTTATTAACTAACAAATGTTTTTTAATTTTGTTTTGAAAAGTTGAAGTATTAATTAAGAAATATATTCAAATTTTGTTAAAACTAGGTAAGTTTTTTAAAATTTAAATATAAAAAGTTTATATCAAACAAATATAAAAGTTACCGTATGTAAAGCTAAAAATATATTTCAGTAGAAAACTATTTAGTTTTATAAAATTTTGAATATATATTTATATTTTATATGTTTATAATCTTAAGGGTTTTTTTGCAAAATATTTGTAAACTTAAGGGCTTTTTTGGAAAAAAATAATTCATAATAACCTGGAAACCTGCTATTGCAGGTAACAAGGGCAAAACCAACAAAAAAAAAATAACAAATTTGCGGTATAAACGAACCAAAAATCTGCCGAAGGGTAAAACCGACATTTTCTGCCAAACTTAAGGCTTTTTATGACATTATCCCATTGTTAAAACCTCAAATAAAGGTCGGATGTAAAGTGGAAGAAGTGAGACAAGGCCCAATTTTTTTTTAAAAAAAGTTTTTTAATTTTTGTATGTAGTATATATACTAGATTATAGCCCGCATTAAACGCGGGAAACACATAAAAAAACATATAATCGTTTATAGATATTGTATAATGATTATAAAAAAAATATATGGTTATTGGTATTATTGAAATATATAGAAAATACATTGAAAACGATAAATATATATAATCATTGAAAGATCTCTTTGTAAACATCATTTTTTGTTTTATTAGTTGAACGATTTTCCTCGTCTTATATAGTTATGATATTTATATATTTATAAGCATTTTAATTAGACGTTCATTACATAATAATGTTACCTAATTTAAACATATATTGACAATCAATATATCATTTTTTCTATTGCATTAAATATTAACAACTGTTTCATTTATTCAAATAAAGTTATGTAATATAATTTATAAAATGTTAAATGTTATATAGATTTAATTTTAGTATATCATCGATGGAGATTCTTTTCTAAATCATGATTGGTTTATTTTAAATTGATTATAAATATAAATACTAGCTTTTATGTTTTTTCTTATTTATTTAGTGTTCGCAAAAACTTTGCATTAGTTTTGGCGCAACTTTGAATAATTTTAGTATATCAATTTAATTTGATATATCTGTCAATTATATGAAATATCAAATAATGACATTTCATTACTATTGTGATAATTTAGTTTATATATTGTATTTTCACTAATCTTAACGGTCTTATTTTTTCTAATAACCGTAACGCTTTTACTAAATGTACTTTTTACAAATCTCCTAATATCTTATAATTTTAATCTTACTTTATAATTTTTCATAACTATGTTATTTTCAAGATGGACTGCTTTAATAGTGTTTTTTTTTTCCAGTCTATTCAATTTTATATTTCATTGTACAACATTATCGTTTGTATGTATTCTGAAATTTCACTTTAAAAATGTTTAATGTTTACACCTTGATTTTAATTTTTTTAATAAACTCATGTAATAATTATGGAATATATATCTCATTTTAATTAACATTCACTTCCTTTATTATATCGAATTCCTCATTAAACGGATATACTTTTGGAAAATAATAATTATAATAGGGCAACATTATCTAAAACGTAAATGTTTGATATATTTTTGGAGAAAAAAATCAAGATCATTAAAAAAAAATTATATAAAGAAAATACAAATTTAAATTTGTTGAAATTATGGATGAAATTACTGACGAAAATTTATTTTGGAAGAAGTTGTATTTTGTAAGGTATAATAATATTACAAAATTTGAAATATCTATATTTGTTGTATAAATTAATAAATTTTATTGTTACTATACGAAGATAAAAAAGTAGGTTGATATGATATATAAAAACATAATAATTTCAATGATATTTTAAAATCATGCCAAAATTAATTGGATTCTTATGACATAAAAATTATAAAAAAAAAATCATAATCATCTCTAATATATAAAAGTAACATTTTCGTAATTAATGTCAGTTCCCACGATATTTAATTTTTGTTTTGTTAAAGGTACCTAATACCTTTTCATGTTTATTTGAAAAGTTTCAGAAAAGTAGTTAACTGATTTCATGTAATTTGTGACAAAGAAAATCGAAATATATGAATACATACATTTGATATAGGAACAAAAAATGATCGAAAAAAATATAAAAAGCGAAAGAAGGTACTGACCTTCTAACGCACAAGAGCGAATGTTGATAGAAGAGAATGATGATGAAAGTTATAAGCAATATTAACGATGTTGTAGGAGAATGTTTGAAGAAAAAAGAAACGATTGAAAATAAATGTGAGTCGCGGATTTAATGATGAATCGTATATGTATGTGATAATTTGAATATGATTTTTCGGTATTAATGATTTCCTAATAAAAAAAGATTTTATATTACTGGTTTACTAATATAAACGGATTTATATTAATGGTTGATATTAAAGCCTTGATTGAAATGATTTGTTAGTAATATATTTTTAAAATTGATCATATTAAAATCTTCATAACTGAAAATTCAAGATGTAAAATATGGAAAGCTTTTATTGGAATTAAATACATTCCATTTCAACGAATGTAAGTTATTGATTGATGATTGGAAAACATTTATTGAAATTAAATACATTCCATATGGGGAAGATGATGTCAGCAATTTGATCTAAGGGTGGAAAAAATAAGATTGAAATACAATCAATGGTCCAGATTATTTAAGATGATGTCATAAAGTTTCTCTTTTAGTAATATTTAAGATATATACATGCCCAATCATAAGCGATATTCCAGATTTGTTAATCGACTAACGAACTAAGGCTCATTAATCATCATCGTGGTCGTTTTAAAAACCTTTAGTTTGTATAATTTAATTCGTTACATGTTAGAACCTAAAAGTCTTTTTTTCCTAAGCATTTGAATCCTAGCGATGCTTCATATAGTTAATAGAAATGTATAATAGATATAATGTTAAGTGAAAAAATGAGCTATATATGGTCCAAGCGTTAACACTAGTTTAGTATGAATTTGAAGGGCAGATGCTTAGGAGTGGGTCCTTGTAGAAAGCTTGTGTGGGAAACAGATAGAGTTTCCCATTTTGGATTATGACCAGGTCGTTCTATTTGAACATTTTTAAGGTAACGAGGCCAATATGTCGTTGTGGTTATCTTACTACTGTTTTTCTCCAATACCTGGAGCATGAGCTCGCAAAAGTGATTCTTATCTTTCAACATCGTGACTGGCCATGAAGTTACTTGTTTAAGATGACAAATCTCAAAAAACGCTTGGAAAAATAGGGAGCATTCCCACAGACAATCATCCCCGATAGTTTCAAATGAAAGTTTCTGCAAGTTGGTAGCCGGAGGAAATGGTTGCCTTGTTCTTAGATCATCGATGTCAATCTCCAATGGTAATGGCCGGTCATGGTTGAAGGTTGTTTTATGAAGTTTGCTGCTCTTGCTTGATAACATGAGTGCTTCCCTCATCTTAAGGAAAAAAGAAGCATCGACACGATCAATGTCGAGTCCCAGACGAAAGTCAATTTGCTCAAGAGTAGAGTCTGGAAACAAGAGACTGGGCATTGTGTTACCATAGAAGGAGAAAAAAAGTAATTTTGGAGCAGTAACATATACCACGTCTCCAAGCGTGCATGGACACGACAGTAACGAAAATTGCTTGATGGAAGCACATGTGAAACGAAAGCTACCCAACATCCAATAGTCCATATCAAGGGTCAAACTTTCAAGAAAAGGTAATCCCAATTTAATGATCATGTCCAGAGATCCGTTGTCCCTGATCATACCCCCGCCTAAAGTTAAGTCTGTGATGCTGCTTCCTAATGATATTGAATGGTCCTTGATCAATGGTCCAAATCGTCTAGACATTCTATTCATACGCACGTTGCAGCCCATGACATGGAGATTTGGGACATGGATAATTTCAAGACCAGTAGAGCCTTCATCCAATGTAACTATTTGTAGTTCGTGAAGACATGGTTTTTAACTTTGATGGTGTTGAGGCCCTTAGAAAAATATAGAAGTTTTATCTTCTCAAGTAAACTACAAGACAACAATATGTCATGGAGGACCTCGTCACTTACATGCACACTCAATAAGTGCAGTTTACACATTTGGGATGATGACAAGTCTTCATCGAAACCGAATGGATCCCATCAAAAGACGGATTGTGAGTGAAAGCTCTTTAACACTAGTTTTAGTGGGGGGAAATGACTTAAAATCCCAACAAAATTTCCAAACCATTCAAAAAATCTCAATCATATTTTGTTTGTTCAAAAAAACCCGACGAACTTAACTTTTTGTCTAAAAAGTCCAACAAAGTTTCAAACCGTTCAAAAAATCTCAATTTTGTTTTGTTTAATTCATTGGGAGTTTTTTTTTTGAACAGTCAAAACATGATTGGAGTTTTTTAAACGTTTTGGAAACTTTGTTGGTCTAACAAGTCATTTTCCCGATACGGTAATAAGCCACGTCATCTATTTCTTTTATTTGACTTTCAAGAAAGTATAACTTAGTTGGGCTTTTTAGACAAAATGTTAAGTTCGTTGGGTTTTTTTGGACAGACAAAACATGATTGGGGTTTTTTTGAACAATTTGAAAACTTCGTTGGGCTTGTAAATCATTTTCCCTTTTAGTGGACACCCTACGGATCCATTTTTCAGCAAGAGAAGCCGACTCCTGGTTCTCAATGGAAATCGAGAGCTCAAAGCTTTCGATTGGTATGTTGTTATCGAGGTAACTTTTCAGGGTGTGCTCCACGTCCACCAATTTCATGTGCTTTCTTTCTTTTTCTTCTTGTTCTTTGGGAACATGAAACCTGAGGTTAGGGATGGTGGACCAAGCGTGTAACCACGACTTGGACAAGATACTGGTGTGGGAAGCTTCGTCTACCGATAACCGGGACTGTATATGGTGCATCGGCTCCGGAACATATTCTAGTACTCCTCGATCTGGAATGCTTCTCCTCCCTTTCCGATTCATACCTAGCTATCATACCAGCACATCATCCAATTAAAAAACCAACATCGTATCATATAATTAATTACTAACATAGTGAAACGAAAATTGATTGATTCCAACGCCTAAATCTTGTGATTCAACAAATTGAACAACATATGTACCTGTTGATCCTCAGAAACCAACAACAGCCACAGACGCAACCTATAACTTTTATGATCCTAGCTAGGGTTACAATTTTAACGGTGCCACAATCCTTTTTTTTTTCTTTTAACGGCCTGGGTATATATAACTTCATGATCCTAACTAGGGTTAATTTTAGAATGAATTCAGTAGATTTAAGAGAATCATTATAATTTAAAAAGAAAATAAATATATTGACCATATTACTCATAAATATTAAAATCCATCTCTCTTTAATCTTATAGGGTTTAGAAGTGTATGTATCCCCTCTAATAGCACTACTAAAAACAAGCGCTTTTTCTGAGGGACATTTCCTTGAAAATTCCTAGGAAAACAGTGTTTCCGAGGAAATATCGAGAAAATCTTGTGTAGTTAAAATCATCATAGGACATGTTTTGTAAGAGATTTCTGAGGAACTTTCTTATGCATCTCCTAGGAAATAGTTTTGTCGGAAGTACCGAGGAATTTCAAAGGAAGTTTATTTTTGACGAATCTTCGAGGAAATTTATTTCCGAAGAAGTTTATTTATGAGGAATCTCCAAGGAAATTTATTTCTGAGGAATCTCCTAGGAAACATTTTTCCCGAGGAATTTCCTAGAAATATTCGACAAATTTCTTTGTATCACACACCTTGTTGACAACTTTTCGTGACAAAAGTTCCTAGAAATTTCCAAGAAACAGTGCAACTATAAAAAATTAGAGAAAACACACAAAAAAAATCAACCTAAAATGCAGAAAAAAAAAACCTAATACAAATAACAAAATTATGTTATAAATTCATACACAAAAACAATAAACATATATCTAAAATTCATACAAACTTTTACACTTTAGAACATAAGTTTCAACAATCGTGTAAAACAAAAACATAATATAGAAATCTTAAAAACGTACAAATGTTTACAACAAATAACCTAAGGAGCATTCGATGGATTGGATGGATGGTAGAGACAATTATTAGCGTCATATCGTTTCATGAACTCGACTATTTCCGCCATTTGTTTTTCCATTTGTGCTTGTCTTTTGGCCATTTCACTATTTTGTCGGGCCAATTCGGCATGAGCTTGTTCTAACTCCCGGACCTAAAAAATGTTAAGAGAAACATACATACATTAGTAACATAAAAAAATAGTAAAAACGAAGTATAAATTAACATTTTTATCTATTATATCAACATACATTTCACTAATAAATGGAATGAACTTAAATTTTCTTATTCACAATAGCAACATATTATCATTTTTTATATATAATAGCAACATACTTTTATTTTCTATCCATTATAGCATTTTACCTTTTTTTTCAATAATACCAACATACTTTAATTGTTATTTATTAGCAAAGACCATACGCTTTTATGTTTTTTAAATAATAGCAACAACTTTATTTTATACATAATAGCAACAAACTTGATTTTTTTATCTATAATAACAACATAGTTTATCTACTTCACATTTTTTATTTATATGTCAAAGAAAAATACCCGTTGTTATGACTGCTGGTAGTCAGAAGAGGTTGGTTTGTTACCGTTAGATGATGTCCCCATGACAACGAAATGTAGATTTGAACATCCTACCCTATAAAAACCCTAATTGTGTGGTGTGTCCCTATTTAAGGAACATGATGGCTTCATTTCTAGCCACAATTTCCAGTCTTCAACTCCCCTTAAATCCCTAATTTCCGCTTCTTATCTTGAGTGGCCATTTGGAGGTTTTTTGTGATCATTTGGAGGTATCAATCTCAAAGCTTTCTCATTGTTTTGATTTGTGCATATTGTATTTCATTTTAGGGTTTATGTCCCAATGCTTGAAGCTTTATGAGTTTGTTGAACTCTAGAGCCTAATACATGTCCCTTTAAGTGTCTTTAGTGGAGTGGACTTATAAAAATGGGATCTTGGACGTCAAGATCTCCCCATGCATGATATATGAGAACTTTTGTGAGTAAGGAGTGAGAGTTTATGAGTTTTGGACTTTCTCAGCCATGCAAAGGCTTAAAGTCACAGAATTTATGAAGTATTAACCTTTAGTGAGTCGAGATCTGAGAGCATAGCTATGGTCTTAACGGGTTAAGATCAGAAGAGTGGGAAAAGTAAGTCTGGGACGTACGCTGAGCGTACTCCCAGATACGCGCAACGTAGAGTCAAAGTTTTCTGATGCATGCATGGAGAAGTAGTACGCCCAATGTAAAGGGTTGTACGCCCAACATACACGCTTGTTATTGACTTTTGTTGATTTTCAGGGTTTGGTCAAACTATGGACTTTAGAGGCCATGGAAGGGTAAAATGGTCTTTTATCATTCTGAGACTTGGTAGAAGGGTTAGCCTAACATCTTTGGGGGTCGTTTATTAGTTAGAGATAATTACGATATATGTTAGGCGGAGGCTAGACCGGTGGTTCGAGTACGAGACATACTTGCTTTACTTACGAGGTGAGTCTTCTCACTATACATACCTGAGTGGTAATATTGAGTGACCGGAGGGTCTTATTTGAGTTATCGACCAGAGGGTCCTATGTGCTTATACTGAGTTATGTGATATTATGCATTTTATCTTTGTGATATATGTTATATTATTCTGTGCTTTACTTAGTTAGGACCAGAGGGTCCAAACCGAGTAGTGAGACCGGAGGGTCGTCACCGAGACGCATGACCAAAGGGTCCATGCTGAGCTATAGCTATGAAAGGGTTATTATTTGTGTATGTGGTGTTTTGGGGAACTCACTAAGCTTTGTGCTTACCGTGTTGTGTGAGATGTGTTTTAGGTACTTTTCAGGATCACGGGAAGGCGCTGACTTGATTGTACACACCAATTAGAGATCAAGATTTTGAGAATTTTGGGATTTTATTAAACATTGTTGACTTGTGTTTTTACAACTTATACATTTTTTGGTTTTTGGGAAATATGATATTGAGCTTATGTGATTTTAAAAATGAAAATTTTATTTGAAAATTTACGATGTTACAAGGGTTTTAGATTTAGTTTAGTTGGGCTAATATAGACCGGGAAAAATGGTCTGTTTCCCTTATCACGATGAAGGATGGACTGGACCATGGTTATGGGTTAAACCCTAGTTATTGATTGGGATTGTTTCTAGATTTTGTTTAGTGTGAGGAGTAGTGTATCATGGAGTATATCATGATGTTCTCGGGTTTCTTTATTTGAAGTGAGTTTCACCTCATTATATCGTGGGTCGAAGGCACCAATACTAGCCTACTAGTTTTGGTTATCTGTCAGTAGAAGGATACCTTAGGGACTATATATATTCATGTAGGATAGACTGAGGACTCTTGGTCTAGGCTCTGTTACATGTTCCCTTTTTGGTTGTGGTTCTAGAGTAGGACCACCTGTCCGAGTGGCTATCTCACCTCTAAATATATACGGCTATGCATTCCTTGGATTGTTGATACTTAGGATGTTGCATGATGGAGTGATCTGTTAGATCGGTATCCTTTTATATAGGATGTTGATTTGTTGTAGTGATCTGTTAGATCGATATCATGGTATGTAGGATGTTGCTATGCTGTAGTGATTTGTTAGATCGGTATCCCGGTATGTAAGGTGTTGTTTTGCTATAGTGCACTGTTGGATATGTATTATCTATACTTGTTGGTTATCATCTAGTGGAGTGTCATATGGACTATTTGTGGTCATGTAGGATAGCCTAAAAACTCTTGATCTAGGCTTTCTTTCCTGTTCCTTGTTTGGTTGTGGCTCTAGAGTAGGATCATCTATTCGGGTGCCTATCTTACCTCTGGCTACTTATGGTTACGCATTTCATGGAGGTTAGCTGGTAGTAAGATTATGTGATGTGAGAGGACTAGTAGGCATGAGTGAGTTGTATGATTATTGTTTGTCTGTATTATGTGCCTGCTTGATCCTTGTTTGTTTATATGTCGACATATGGTGGTGGTGGGTTGAGGCGGCCCTGCTTTATGTTGTAGGACAAGATACCCAGTGTGGGACGACTGTAAGATGAAGGCACAGAGGCTCTAATAGAGCGGTTGCATTGAGGTGGTAGACCAACAAATCCTATGTAATATAGCCCAATGGCTGAGTGGACCCGATGCATGCTTGTATGTTTATCGTATGGGGTATTTTAGGGGGGGGGGGGGGGTAGGGGACTCGCTAAGCTTTATGCTTACCCAATTGTTTATGGTTTCAGGTATCATCGGTGATTACGGAAAGGCGAAGGCGATACTGTACACACTCATCAACAACATTGAGGATTCCACATTTTCTACGATACTCTGATTTCTTTAATACATGTAATTTGGAATAAATGGTTTTCTTAATAATGGATTTATAAATTGGTAAGTTTTTACCTTAATAAAAATGAAAATTTTTTGTGGTGAAAAACGAGACATTCCATAAGCACTTTGCTCCCTTCAATATACTTGAGAATTGTCATTTCCAATACCATATTCTAGTTTAGATTCACGATTTTTGCCAGAAATCTATCAATTAACCACTAATAGATTATTCATTTGGTCTATGATGTGGTGTCTCTAATAATGCAAAATATCTACAAGGAGTTCAAGGATGGGAAAATTAGAATTTGGAAGGATTAGAGGAGTAGTCTGTTAAACATGGGAGTGCCACAAAGATTGGCAACACAACAGTAAACGATTCAATTTTTATTCATCATCTTAACTGTTTACAGACTCAATTGGCACAAAGCTCATATAATGAAATTAGAGTGATTCTAAGACAGTTGGACAAAATTTGAAAACTCATACACTCCCATGCTCAAAGGTCGCAAGGTTGGTGCATTTGTACAAGTTTATATCTCCTTCTGAATTTAAAATTATTTCAATTTTTTTTTCAATAATTCTAAAATTTTAT